ATTACCCCTGCTAGTTTACTTCTTTAGAAGAACCCCTTTGTCTTAGGTCAATCGAAAGTCTTAGAGACAGACGAGCAGGCCACACGGGACCATAGGACTCAATGAAACACCTAATGAGGAAGTTCACACGAAAAATCTCACCTCATTACGTATTTCTAAAAAAAAACTTCGACTGACTTTTGACTTGAGTCAGTCTATCTTAGAGAAGGTGAGTGGTAGTCAAAGTGGTTCGAGAAAGATACTGCAGCGGACCTCCATCTGCCCTAGCCTACAGCCAGGGCTTATTTGGCTATTTGTCAGTTCGACCTGTGGAACCAGGCCGTGTGCTGTTCCAGTCCTGCCCAGTACCACTGTCGGTACCAGGCCAGTCCACTCCAGTCAGTCAGTCCGTTGGGGGTATACCCCGGTTGTTGTCTGCTTTTCGGCATTCATCATTTTTGCACTTGTTGGAGAACAAGCGGTGTTGAGTCTGCGTCGGAGCTGCGCTGTCCCTTCTAGCTCCATCTCTACTTCCTCCTTCCTCTACCCCTTCGTCTCCATCCTGTCGGACCGCCATCCTGGTGGGTCCGGCACACTGGTATCAGAGTGGGAACAGTCCCCGCTCCAACCCGCCCTCCCTCCCGCACGTAACAGCGGGAATTGGTGTAATTCAGATAGCTGGATTTTCCGAGGTTCTGGGGGCGAAAACAGCGAAAAACAGCGGAAAGAACAGCAGCGTGGAGAGGCGGACACGTGGCGAAAAGGAGAGGATCATCATGACGCGTGCGCTCCAAGGCCAAAGCCGCCGTACGCGCCCTTGGTGCCCCTCTGCCCCGCCCTGCCCCGCTCCCGGATATATATTATCAAGATCCGGGATGCTTCCACAACCAGGGTTTGAACCTGGGCAGCTGACACTCATGCGCGTGCGTAGTCAGTGCCTTAACACACTGCCCAAAGCCACAATCTAAGTTGAGATTGTGGCACGTTGGTGCTGAAGAAGTGCCACGAAAACAATTTATCCCCCACCCCCCCCCCCCCCCC